CCTGGGTCCGGGAGCGGCCGCCGGGGCTCGCTGAGCCGGCCCCGCTGAGGAGGAGGAGCCGGACAGGGGCGGCCGCTCCCCTCCCCCGTCACGCCGGGCGGCTGCAGAGGAAGTTCCGCTCGCTGACGGACCGCGCGGCCGCGGCTCGGGCGCCGAGGCATTCGGGACTTGTAGCCCCTCGAGCCCGCCGTCGGAGCTCCGCCCGGAGTCTGCGGGGCGGCATCGGCCCGGCGTGTTCGCCCGGCCGCTGCTTGTACGGCTGCGGCGAGGAGACCGCAGAGGGCAGCTTCTGTCGGTCCGGGTGTCGACGGGCGCCCATTGGGGCGGGACACCGCATCGGAGCATCGCACTGGGGGCAGGCATGGCAGAACCCACCTCGCCGCTGCTCTGCAGCGTGGCTCGCCCGACCTCCTCCCGGGAATGAAGAGGAGACTCGCGCTCACCCGGTGAGGTCCAGAGAGCCAGATGGCCAGAGGGTGTCACTGGACATAAACCAGCGATCGCCGGGGAGGTCACCCGGGTGTCTGGATGCCACCGGAGAGCGTGGGAGAGGTGGCCTTGTCCAGAAGCACAGCAGTCCCGAGACGGGAGAACAGTTGGGTTTCTCCATTTTTGCCAAGGTTTTGCGAACGGTTCGATGTCTTGTACGTTTGATATAAGATGAGAACTTTCTAAAGTATTCCGCCCAAGAGCCTAAGATGACTACCCCCGCGCTGCTGCCCCTGTCTGGACGTCGGATCCCGCCTCTGAACCTGGGGCCGCCCTCCTTCCCGCACCACAGGGCTACCTTGAGACTTTCCGAGAAGTTCATCCTTCTCCTGATTCTCAGTGCCTTCATCACCCTGTGTTTTGGGGCATTCTTTTTCCTTCCAGACTCTTCCAAACACAAACGCTTTGATCTGGGTTTGGAAGATGTGTTAATTCCTCACGTCGATGCGGGCAAAGGGGCTAAAAACCCCGGAGTCTTCCTGATCCATGGACCCGATGAGCACAGACACAGGTTGGTTCATTTCAGGAATTGTGGTGCTAAGATTTGGTAGAGCGAGGGGTAGTTCCCGCCCCCCCCTTTCCTTTCTTCCTCCTCACCTTCCTCCCTGCCCACCTTGGCAGTCAAATGTCAGTGTTCAGCATGGTTAACTTCGGAACCGGACGTCCAGCAGTGCCTGGCTGTTTCTAGGCGACACGTGTGTTCCGGGTTGTTTGATGTGGCATGTGCCGCGTCCGCATATGGAGAACGTGTTGCGTCCAGTCCCCGTGTGATCACGGAGTCCTGCCAGCTGGACTTTGCCCCCGCTCTCCGGCTTGCAGTAGAAAATCTTAGGGTATCGTAGGTGTTTTGGATGCCAAACAGGGTAGAAGAGACGTAGTATTATTATGAGTGCTGTTTTCAGGGAATGGAATTGGGTGCTCCGTATGGAATCAGCTGAAAAGGTGAAGAAACCCCAGAGGCTTGTGGACAAGACTTAGTTGTTGGTCCCGTGTCCCGGTCCCCCCCCCCCCCCGCGGTTTAATTTCGCTCTGATCTTTTTGTTATAGTGAAAGCATGTGCTGTGTCAGTTCCTGACGACTGCAGTTGGGTCAGTGATTTGTTCCCATTCTTTGATCACGGACTCTGAACTGAGCTCCCACAGTATAGAATAGTCAAAACGAAATGGAGGCTCTGACTACAGCCCTCCAAGCCAGCTCTGTACTTCTACCTAAAGAGTTTGAGAGGTCACTTTTCCCAAGCTTCTCCTTTCGGTATTTCACAAATTAATCCTTGAGTTTGTGAGAAAGATTCATGTAGTTGAGCCCAGATTTCACCTGAATGATGGAACTCCTGTAGAAAGCTGATACTACTTTTAACTTAAATATGAAGATTTTGAAAAAGCCTAGGTTCAAATGTGAGCCTAAGTTTTAAATATTTGACAGTATACTGTTGTAATGAGAACTTTTCCCTTTTTGGTCAGCTTAGTTAATTATCTGATTGGTGGTTCTTTGACTTTTGATTATACCTTAGGGAGTAGTTCTAATAGATGTTCATACCATTTTTCTATAAGTTAATTTGGGATTTTTGCCATTTTCAAGTTCTGTGCTTTTAGATTTGTTTCTTTAATTTTGTCCTTTGCATTTTGTAACTTTGAGAAAAAAAAATTACCGGGTTTGGGAACTTTGTTGCTGAAAAAACAATTTTCCTTGAAAATTATTTCCCATGGTATAGTATAGATATGATAAGGATTTGAAAAAAGTGTGTCTAAAAGAGGCATTAGAGCTCATCAGCAGCAGCTGTATGCTATATTATTAGCTATTATCATGGTTATATACTAAGTATCTTCCTTTCTGTTTTGTGTGGGTGAAACTTTAAAAATTATTGCCAACTTTCAGTTTGAAAAGATTTATATGTAGTGAATTTAGAAAAAGCCTTCAGTTGAAGTTAAAATACAAAAATTTGAACAAAAATATTGATACGACATTTTACTGCACAATTTTATAAGGTCTACTAATACTTTTCAAATAACAGTCTTAAAATATAGTCCGTGAATGTACATATATGTATTGTTATCTCTAACGCCTGGGTTTCTGAGTTTGGAGTGAGAAACTTGTTAGTTCTGATGGCTAAGGGATGGTGAGTGAGCTGCATCCTTAGTTTGGGCCAGGTAGAGAGTCTGGATAGCAAGTGATGTGCGTGGTAATTTCTATGACTCTGGTTACTGAGTTAGAAAATGAGAATTCATACGGTGAGAGTCAAGCAGTGAAGGATCTGTATTGTCTCTGTATTTTTCTGTGGTTCTATCAGCTTGTAGTTTTCATTGGTCAGTAATATTTTTGTTGTTGATCTTGCCTGAAAACAGTCTGTTAAGAATTCTTTTACTTTAACAAGGAAATGCATTTATCATTAAGTATAAGTTTAAAATGTAGAAACACTAAAACAGTAAATTTATGTGCATTTTTAACTTGTTTAAAATGTAATTCTAAAAGATAGTATTATTACAGAATTACTTGCAACTAAAGTCATACCTATTTTGGGTATAAAAATCTTAATTTAGAAGATACAAATAGACAGCTTATTTGTGTGTGTGTAAGGTCCAGGATAGAGGGATGAGGAAGCACACTTTACTAAGTGATGGAAGGTAAATTAAGACAAGACCATTGTTTCTTGTGAATAGTATTAAGAGATGTTTGTTGGATTTTATGTTTCTGAAAAGCTGGGTATAGTTTGATATTTTAAAGAACACAAGAATCGTATCTAAAGGAACATTTTAGAACTCGGTTATTAGTTAGCAACAAATGCATACTGTGTCAAACCCTGTAGCTCAGGAGCCTCCTATCTAGAGGATAGTGGGCCTTCAATGGGTGATTTTGGTTTTGAGGTATGAGTATTCAGAAGTTGCAGGTAGACCGGTCAGAATTCATAATGCTGGTGGAAAGGAAATGGAGAGCATCGAGTATAGGAAGGTTTCCCTTGAGGAAGAAATGGCTCAGAAACTGTGTGTGGTATAGTGATGGGAAGTGGTCAGAGCAGAGCAGACCAGTGAGAGTCCTAAGGTTAAAAAGCTTTGTGTCATCCAAGACCTGAGAAATGTTGTTAGGACGAATGTAGACAGTAGTTTTGAGCAGCCTGGTGAAGAGACTAGAGAGGGCATGGCTTCACAGGTTGTTTTTGCCTCCTTAATTACAGAAGTTTGAATTAGTCACTAGCATTCAGAAATCAGGAGATTTCATGTAAAAGTCTAGATTTCTGATTTCTCAGAAAAGAACAATTTGATAGAGTAACACTCAACACTTGTGTGTATTTCCAGATGGTTAGTGCTGGGTTGGAATCTGGCTCCCTCTGGAGGGGTATCTGCTCTTCATTTTATGCCACTCAGTTAAGGTGTCAGATAAGTAAAGGCAATAAATCAATACTTCCTCTGGTTGTGGTTGCCTTTACATCTTTGGACAGGGTGCTAGAGTTTGTTAAGTATTTTGGTCTTTATACTGAGTCGCCTGTGGGAAGTTACTGAAGTCACCGAAGTAAAGAACATCATCATTTTGAGTTAAACACAAAACCAAAAAGAAAAAAAAAATGCTCTTGTACAGAGACAACCAAGGTTTGAGGGTGTAGACACAGTATTGACTTAGTCATAGTGGTAATAGTGGGAAGGGAGAGAACTTAGTGGAGAAAAGAGCTTGGATTAAGAAAGGAGTTTATTACAATGTGCATCAATGTTACTACAATACACACTGATTTACATTGTCATCTTCATAATTTCTGTATGTAATAGAATTCTGTTCTCAGTCTCTTTCATTTTGAAACTGTTTGCTTATATAATAACATACAACCAAGCTGTGTGTATGCATGCTTAAAACACTAACTTGAACAGCCAGTGTAAGTTTTATTCTCCAGTGAGGATCTTGTTAGTTTGAATTGAATACTTGAGAGAGTCATGTATGTTTACTTATGGTAGTTTCTTCAAAGGGAAAAAAATGTAGGCTTTGGGAAAAGAAAAACCCAAGAGTCAATCGTAGCGATATGATACTGTACTAGATAAAATCCCTTTAAACCTGCAGCGACCAATACCAATCACAAGACAAAATGTGTATTATAGTTGGGTGTGGTGGTGCACACCTTTAATCGTAGCACTCAGGGGGAAGAGGCAGGCTGATCTCTGTGAGTTCTAGGCCACCCAGAAAAAAAAAGTGTGCCTTAGTGAAAAATTCTTCAATTCGTTTAAAAAAAAAAAGATTTATTTTTATTTGTGTGTGTGTGTGTGTGTGTGTGTGTGTGTGTGTGTGTGTTTGTCCATGGAGGCCAGAAGAAGGTGTTATTATGGAGCTAGAACTACACGGGCTATTTTGAGATGCCTGATATGGGTCCTCTGGAAGAGCAGCATGTGCTTTTAAACACTTGGCCATGTCTCTAGCCCCTTAAATTCTTTATTCAGATCATGATTAGCATTTTTTGCTTGCGATTCATCTTTGCTTCATAGAACATGATCACTGTGACCAAATGCTAGCTAGACAAGAGGCACCTAAGGTCAGAGAGTTTCTTTTGCCTCACAGTTGAGAGAATGCAGTTCCATGGTGGGGAAGGCATGGCCACGGGAGCAACGAGGACCGTGGTGCAGCGTAGGAAGCAGAGCAAGGAGAATGCCAGTGCTCAGCTGGGTTTTTCCTTTTTCTTTTTTATTTAGTCTTTGATTCTAGCCCATGGAATGGTGCTCCCCCACCTTCAGGCAGCTGTTTTCGTCTCATTTAAACCTCTTTGGAAACACTATGAACAGATACACCTGAAGATGTGTCTCATTAATGCTTAGGTGTTTATTGATTCAATCAAGTTGTCAATTGAAATTAACCATCACAAGTCCACCTCCTTGTCAACTTGACAGCCAAACACATCATTTTATGACATTCTGCCTCTGTTCCTTGTAGGCTCATGGCTATCTATTATGCATTCATTCTAACTTCAAAAGTTCTCAGAGTCTTAGTAGTTTCAACACTGTTAAAAAGTCTCTTGAGATTCAAGGCAGTCTTTTAACTATGAGCCATCATTCCATAAAATTTAAAACAAAAACAAGATAAGGTGTGTACTTTACATATACAGTGGCACAGAATAAACATCCTGACTCCTGAAAGGAGGAATTGAGGCATAGGAAAGACAGATGGGGCCAAAGCAAGACAAATCCAAGCTGGACAAATGCCAAATCCTAGAGCTGCATGTCTGGCATCCAGGGTTTGTGGCATCATATGAACTCCAGAGCCTTGGGTAGTCACCTGCTTCCAGTTCTGCTGCCTGTAATACCGCATACTAACCTCTCTCTTGGTTTGGTCCCACTGTTCTCTGCAGCTTTCCTTGGCGGATATACTTTTTGTCTAGTATCTTCAACACCTTGGGGTCTATTGCAGCTTCAGCTTCATCTTTACAGCTTTATGTAGTGGCCTCTCAGGACTCCTTGCAGACTCTAATCCTGTCTCATGTTGCCTGGCCTGAGTGGTTTTCTGGAACCTTGGTGCAAGCCTCTATGACTCTGTAACATTTGT